ACAAACCTTTATTAAAAATAAGTTATATAAAATAAAGTTTAAATTACATAAACTTACATTTTATATAATTTGTAAAGTAAATTAAAAGTAAATAAATTTACTTATATTTTACAATAACTTTGACAGGGTTTTGTACAAAAGTAATGCAAAAAAGTTAAATTTCAAGGAATAAGGCATAAGACATTTAGTTTTCCCTAACATTCGATTTGCGCGGTTTTAAATATTTCTTTCATGTAAAGTTTGAAAAAATCAATAATAGGGTTCCGCCCATGATTAAAACTCTCTAGTTCCGGTCATGATAGTTTTAGCTATAATAAACATTCTCTGAAGCAAACCGTCTTAACAATGTTCACTCTCTGGCCAACCGTTCGAAAGGTCATGACAAAGCTGAAAAAAAGATTTTAGCAGAAGGCGCATATACCTATGGGAGACTTAGAAAGGGTAGTTTGTTTGAAAGAAAATTAATTAGCATAATTGTTAGTCCTTTTTACAAGTTTTTGCTTAAAGTATATATTTTTTAAACTTGTTCTAAATTATTGGGTTTTTAACAACATGTCTTGAAAAATAAGGAGCCCCAAACATTTTCAGAGGACGCTTTAATTTTGTAAAAATTTGATGCCACTTTGATACTTTTTAAAAGTGGCATCAAATTTTTACAAAATTAAAGCGTCCTTTGAAAATGTTTGGGGCTCCTTATTTTTAATAAGGAGCCCTAAAAACTGGAACTAAAAGTCCACCTGCTCAAGAATATCCTTTGACTCTAAAAGTCGTGGTTTAAAAAACTACGGTACTTTTATATTTAATTATTTTGAGATTTGAGAAGCCGTGGCGAAGTGGTAATGCACTTGCCTCAGAAACAAAGGATCCGTGGTTCAAACCCCATTTCTAGGAATGATTTGCAACATCGATTAGGAAGAAGGCGTGAACTTTCAATTAAATGCTCATCAGCGGTGCTCTTTGCGAAGACTATAAGGACTTATAAAAAACATAAAAAATTTAGAACTTTTCACGTAAATATCTTTATCTGCATGTAGTATCAGTGGCCTAGCTACCGCAATGCCAGTATAAGCAAACCTTACGGTCCCACAAGCAACTGAATCTAGAGTCGTAAGGTTTAGGAGATATATTTAAGATATATTTAAAGAGTTTTTTTTTTTTTAAAAAAAGTTATTGTTTGAGAGGAACAGAAATTGGGCACCTTGGTCACGTAAACCTGGATACAAAATACCCTAAACATTTACCATCTTACTCTGAATGTGAGGGCAACAAATTAGTAATGATTTTTTTAAAAGGTATAATTTTGTAAAGTTTACACATTCGCCTAATGAGGTGGTTGTTCCAATCTTTTTCTAAACAGTCTCATGTGATAAGCAAGAACAAACTAATGTTTAGCACTAAAGTATGTTTTTTATTTATACCACAATAGAGCATAATATTAAAGATAGTTTAATATTATGCATTATAATACAAAATATTAAAAAAATATTTAAAATTTAAATTATTATGAAAATATTATGACACTACCAAAAATATACTAAACAGGTGCACTTTTGGATATATAAGTTGTGCTAAGTTCGATCGATATAATGTACTCTGGTTCAATACCATTGTCATATTACCAATTATTTTGTAATAGTTAATTTTATACATGAGATTTAAATTGCTGTTAGTAATTATTTCAACCAAAATTATTGCGTTTTAATAATTATAATATATTATAATTAAAACAATATTTTGTCTCAAAAATTTACTTACGTAATGTTAATATATTTGTTAAAGACATCATTATATCAATAGTTATTCATAAAGTCTTTAAATGAGTTTAATGTGGTTTTTAACAACACTTTAAAAGATTCTCAGAAAACCTCATTTGTACGCAACTATACAATAATATTATTAGTTAAAGAAAAGGCTGTTGATTAATTAATTGTAGTTGGTTTGTTGATAAAAGGAATCGTTGCATGTTCAAATTGTAAAGCTTTTTTAAATTGCAGCATAACACCACGCTACACCACTCGTATTTAAATCAATTTAAAATTAAATGGTGTTTTTTGTTTAATAAATTTTTTGATGAATAATACTTTTTATAACACCGTTATTTTTATATGTTTAAAAGAAAAGTTATTCAAAACACCCTGTTTTAGAAAGTTACATTAAAAAAAAACTTCTCTGTAAGTAAAGAGCCAATTTAAACGCCCTTTGGTGTTTTAGCTACTGACATATTAACTTTTCAAGTAGAGGAAGTTGGGGTACAGTATATCGAGGGGCACAGTGAATAAGAGTCATTTTCTCAAAGATTAAAATTTATTTATCTTAGTAATGTAATCATTTTATGTGCTCATATATCAGCCGTCTTTATTTATAGTAGTTACCACAAAGTATTTGACTACCGGTTTTTGGTAGGTAATTTTTGTTTTTAGCTAACTAAAGTAAATTTTCTTACCTTCCTTATGTTTGTAAAGGAGATTATGGTTGAAATAATTTTAAAAGTTGAAGTTTT